TTAAGCTCAGCCTACTATGGTATTTATTAAAAATTACAGATATCTTTTTAACTACTTAATAAGTATATTTTATTAGAAAACTATTTTTTTTAAATTGGGGTATTCCATTAAAAAAAATGTAACTTTGCGTAATACCTTGTGAACTAAAGGCTTTAAGACAAAATCGGTGAAACAGGTAAAATGTAAAATTAAAAAATTCAAAAAATGTTTTTAAAAAAATTCTTCATTTTTACAAATAAAAAAGTTATAGAGGGTTTGTAGAAACGCACGCGTTTAAGAATCAGCCTGTAGCTCAGAAACGCCTTGACATATCGCGGTGCATATTAGTTTTGAGCTAACTATGATGCAAATGCTTACAGCCATAGAGGACCCTCGAATATGGACCACCCTATACAATAAATATAAATATGCGAGGGAAGTTTCCAAAGGTCTGGGAACTTATTCATCATGCTCAAGTCATTATAATAATAATGAAATATTAAAAAATATTATAAGACAAATTAATAGAAATATCATTTGGTAGCAAAGGGATAAGAAAGTCAAACATGTGCAATCAGTCTAGTACAGTAGTTTATAACTTTTTGAATGCGATACTCCTCTGTGTTATGAATACGCTGTTACAATGATTGAACTATTTAGTATCGCAAAAAGATCTTTTAGTATCCTGTGAGAGACAGTGATGACTGTAACTATGACTGTTACTGTAAGCAACCTTTAACTGTGCTAGTAACGTTCTCTCTAAATTTTCCCTGAGACTCTAGAGTGAGTCCTAAACTTTTGCAATTGTTATCAAATGGTAACAAGGTTCTCCATAGATAATTTTGCGTTAATGTTATCAATTTCATTGTCATTTCCTAATGCCATCACTAAGGAAAACTTTGGTATTGTCGGAATATCCGAAACTTGGTTAAATAACAGCAGAAGTTCAAATAATATTAAAATTGAAGGTTATAATTTTTTTCGACAGGGCAGACTCGGGCGAAGTGGAGGTGTGGGACTTCACAAAACTTGAACATTTTGAGCCAATCTGGCAAAAAATTCCGTTTGAATAAACAATAATAATAAATATAATGTGTTCGCAGAAAATTAATTGCAGAAAAAATATTTATGTAAATTATATATAATTATCCGCAAACAGGGACTGAAGGCAATTTAGAAATGGTCAGTTCAGCCTGAAAAGTATGTATAATAGGAAAAAATGTCCTCAAAATTATATATTTAAAAGCTAAGTTTTATGATACAACAGAAGTGATAGAAAAAAGGGATAAATAAAAATAAAATAAACATAAAGATTTAAATGCGTATTAAAACTTAAGGCATAATCTACAGCAGGCAATCTAAGGCAATCTACTACCCATCATGCATGTGTTTGTATTTTTTTTTAAAGAATTGACATTTAAAAATTTTAATCATCTAGGCACACTGTTGCATAGTGAGGAGGAGGCGATATGTAACCCTGAAACCTTAAATTCAAATTATGAACTGTTCTGTGTTTAATTTATTTACTAGATAAGACGGGCATTGATTATGTATAAGACTGTGGAACAAAACCGCAGAATGCAATTTACGTCCATTTTCATCGATAACCATTTAGTTTCCCGTAACTTATGTGATATTTTCATCCTATGTAGAAATCGTAGGCCACATTTTTGTACCCCCTGAATTCTGTCTTTGTCGATTATATCCGAACATGGTCCATAAACTACGTCACAAAAATTAAACTCGCTCGATACTTTTTTTGAAAGTAACTTCGAAATAATACCTTTAAATTTCCGTACGCTCTCTGTATACATTCATTGATATGCGGCTTAAAACGTAGAATGTAACCCTACATTTCTTGCTTGTTTTATGCATCCCCGATAATTTGGCTCCATTTAACTGCAGACCATTAACTTTTTTGGGCTGCTGCTGTTTTATTAGGTGGAAAGGAGATATAAAACTGTGTATCATTTGCGTATAAATATACAGTACTATCACGTAAACAATTGCTCAAATTACAAGTGTAAGTACCAAAAAGAAGCGCCTCCAAAATGGAGCCTTGGGGTACCCCACAAATGATATTTCGCTAGGTGATATACCTTTACTAGTTTTCTTTTTTACTAACCAAATTGATTTTAATAAATCCAATCGCGCTGTCCGAGAAATCAACAAATTGTCAAATCGTACATGAAGAAAATAGTACAAAGTAACAATTTATTACGTTCTATTTCATAACATTTCTATGTGGTATCATTGTGAATATACAAAATATTTAATATAATAATAATAAAGTATCAGTAGCTTAAAAAATCGTCACTATCGCTACTGTCGTCACGTTTATTAATTGTTTGAAACTGAAAATACATTTTCTTCAAAAAATTACGCAACGACTCTTTGGCACAAATAATGTTTAAGTACTTTTTGATGCAGTTCTTCTAGGGTTGAAATACTACTCACTTTATAAGCGTCTTAGGTTATACGCCTAAATAGATCTGCGTGTTGCTCTTTCAAAACTGGCGAAGTACCAGCATCTTCTCTCACTTCCCTCTTGACTATCCCAATTGAAACAATTTTTCTTACAGTTGACTTCGGAACTTTGGTCATGTCGCTTGTTTCTATTGCTGCTCCTACTTCTCCTTCTGAATTTCTTATAAAATTGTAAACAAATACAAAAAACAAGACAAATGGATCCGTTTTTTTATTTGCTTAGGTAGATCGACTTCTAAATTGTCATTAGGTTCGACTATCATCTCCACTTCGTTTTCAAGAATTACACTCATAAATATCCTGCTTGGTACACATTCCAGTTAATAAAAGATATAAAACAAAAAGCAAAAACACAGAAAAAATTCAAGAAAACTGGTGTTAGGGCCCACTTAGTCGAGTTTTAAAGGCCGGAGATGTAAAATTAAATCTCAGATCAAGACTGCTTATAGCGTTTACCTTGGCGCAGTGCAACAAGGTGTTTCTAATGATCCTCGTACTTTTTGGTCATATGTACACCAAAAAAATCAATCCACCGTAATCCCCGGTAACATGGATTCGACGGCAATGTCTTTGACGATCCCCCTTCTATTGCGGAAGCGTTTGCTACCTTTTTTGAGAGTGTATTTCTCCCTTCTGGTCCTTAGCTCACTCTTTGTAACATTTAAACTCAAGCACTATAATTTTCTATCCAATTACTGAAAATGAAATAATAAAGGCTGCAAAGAAATTAAAAAATAAAATGACCTCAGGACCAGCTTGAATTCCTTCTTTTTTAGTAAAAGATTGTACTAGTGTTTTTTCCAAGCCTTTATTTAAAATATTTAACCTTGCGCTCTCCTCCAAAATATATCCGCGATGTTGGAAGGAATCCAGGGTCTGTCCACTTTTTAAAAGTTGTGAAAGAAATCACGCAACCAACTATAGACCTATCACAATCTTATGCAATTTTTCTAAAACACTTGAGGTCGTTCTGTATTTTTAAGTCTGCCAGAAGCATTGTCTCTCCCTCTACTCCCGCTCTACAGTTACTAATTTGGTACAGTTTACGGAGTATGCAACAAGGGTGCTTGACAGTAAAGGACAAGTAGATGTTGTATATACCGATTTTAGTAAAGCATTCGACAAAGTCATGCTGGTTTGCTTCAGAAACTTAAGCGTTTTGGATTTGTCGATGGTGCAGTGATGTTTCTCAGAAACTACCTAAATGACAGGACACAGTACATATCTTACAATGGGTATACATCTAATAGATATTTCACAACATCAGGGGTGCCACAGGGTTCTAACTTAGGGACCATTACTATTTCTAATTTTTATCAATGACGTTGTTTCAAATTTCAGAACCTGTTATTTGAGGATGACTTTAAAATTTATACTTCCATTTCCAGTAGATATACTTTTTGACTGGTATATCTCAAATGAATTGAGTCTTAGCGTAGATAAATGTAAAGTTGTAAACTTCACTCGTAAGGAAGAAACTACCGATTTTCAATATAGAATCTCAAATATTGTTCTCCGACGTGTTATAGATACTAAAGATCTGGGCGTGCATTTCGATCAAAGACTTACATTCGTGAACCACATAACGAGCATTGTATCTGAGGCTAACTGTAATTATGGTTTTATATTACGCAACTGCAATTCTTTCACCGACTGTATTTTAGCTATGTTCAATCTAAGCTTGAATACGCCTCGGTTGTTTAAAACAGAAGGTGCGTATCCACCGAGACGCATAGACTACCAATTTTACTTCGAAAAATTTAATATGAACAGCCTGGCATGTAAGCGGAAGTGTGTGTCAGTTATCTTTCTTTATACATTGCTACACAACATTATAGGTAGTCCGAAGTATTTAGATATTCGTGTACCACGGCTCAATTCGCGCACCAAAAACACCTTTTAATGTGTTCGGGCAAGAACAAACCTATTAAAAAATTCGCCTATAAATATAGCATGTTCCAATTGTAATTGTGTTTTGGACGTGTGCGACATATTTAACTGTGGACTGAGGAAATTGAGAAATATATGTTTGTTGTCTAGCCGTCGCTGGCTTGAATCAAGATCCATGGTTATTCTAATTTCTTTGGAGCTCACTTCGTCAACCTGCTTGAACTACTCACTAGAATAGGTCAGGTTACATTATATTACATACTGTTTCTTTTTTTTGTTACTATGCTTTGCACTGTAAATTGATTGTTTTCGTTGAGCAATAAAACTATTATTATTATTATTATTATTATTATTATTATTATTATTATTATTATTATTATTATTATTATTATTATTATTATAGTAGTATAGTAAATGACCTAGTATCATCCATTGGGAAATCCAGTGACCCATATGTGTACCTTACGAAAACACCCTCTCCGTGTAAATCTTTCTTCTTAAGCCCGGTCTCTGAGAGTGAGATGTATGGCATTATTATGGGTCTAAACAACTCAAGTTCTACCGATTGCTTCGGCTTAAATTCAAAAATATTGAAACACACCATTGAGTACATCGTGGGTCCCCTGGCAGCCATAACGAACGCCGTGTTTTCGAGTGGCGTATTTCCTTCGGATCTAAAACTTTCAAAAATAATTCCCATTCACAAAAAAGACGATCAACATACACCAAATAACTTTAGGCCCATTGCAATTACCCCTATATTCGGTAAAGTCATTGAGAAAGCCCTGAAGGCTCGCCTGTCACTGTTTTTTGAGGAAAATAAACTTCTGTGTGAATCGCAGTTTGGCTTTCGTGAGGGGAAATCCACGACCCATGCACTTATGCACTTTGTGAACAGTGTGGTGCGGGGTTTCGATGCTGGCGACGTATCAAAGGCACTTCTGTACGACCTTACGAAAGCGTTTGACTGCGTCGATCACGATGTGCTCTTAAACAAATTAAAATTTTATGGCGTCAGAGGTATCCCTCTAAAGTTAATAAAATCGTATCTTAGTAACAGGTTTCAGTATGTTGAGTTTGGTGGAGTGTCGAGTGATGATGCTCTTCCAGTGAGCTGCGGTGTCCCACAGGGCTCGGTTCTTGGGCCGTTGCTCTTCATCATTTATATAAACGATCTGCCATTGTCCGTGCCAGATGCGAATGTCACCTTGTTTGCTGACGACACTGCCATTCTGTTAACAGCTAAGCATCAACGAATGCTTAGTGAAGATGTCAGCGTAGCAACAAATGTTCTCCAGCAATGGTTTTCTGCAAATAACTTAGTCCTCAATAATCAAAAAACTCAAGAACTTACCTTCTCCTGCAGTAAAGTCGACTATCTGTATCAAAATAATATAACCCTCTTGGGATTCGTAATTGACAGGACTCTGTCATGGTCAGGCCAGATTCATGAGGTCTGTGCAACGTTGTCTCGGCGACTGTTCCTACTGAGACATCTCAGCCATTGTCTAACCCCGGCGGCCCTTAGGATAGCCTATTTTGGGCTTTTTCATAGTGTGCTGTCTTATGGCATTGTGCTTTGGGGTGGGGTTGGATATACGGAAAGAGCTTTTCGTTTGCAAAAGAAGGCTGTGTGGGTCCTCTGCGGTGCCAACCCGATTGCCCACTGCAAGCCCATTTTCTCTGACTTCCAGGTTATGACGCTGCCTTCTACTTATATATACCGATCCATCCTGTATATTCACGAAAACGAGGATGTCTATGGGACACTTGGCAATAGACATGAGTATAATACTAGGTATGTTGACATGATCACCCCACCTCACTCCAGACTGACGTCCTCACAAAACAATAAGATTAATGTTAAACTGTATAATGTTCTCCCAAATAATATAAAAAATCCACCATACAGACAATTTAAAAAGAGAATGAAAAGTTTTTTTACTGATAATCCTTTCTATGATATTAATGAATACTTGTAGTTGATCAAACATACTACACTTGAATAGACCACTGCGTTAGTGTGTTAGTTCTCAAAAATTGTACAACCTTTTATATTATATATATAAATTCTTTTGTATTGTTAACCTTTGACGTACCATTTGTTGTTTTTGTGACGTATCTGAATGGCCAATAAATTCTATTCTATTCTATTCTATTCTATTATTATTATTATTATTATTATTATTATTATTATTGAATTCTGCATTGTTTTCCATATCTTCTTCTAACCGGGAACATCTGCTTCATTCCACGGTCTCCACATTTTAAAGCGTGACAAAACAGGAAGCTTCAAAAAATGTTTAATTATAAGATTCTAATAAATAGTTATCTGTATTCTCATGCCGTACCTTTATCTACCGCGAATATAATCTATAGTCTTAAAACAGACGGTTGTTTACAAATCGAAGAACTATATAGAATACACAAAAATACAGGAAGAAGAATGTCGTTAATCGACAGGCACACAAGACAAAAATGATTATTTTTAAACTTACCTGTAGGATAAATAGACTACAGGTACTTACCCTTACCCTTTGAACTATCTAGTGAAAACAGAATGGAAGGATCACAGTCAAATACCTCCGTAATACGTACGAACATATTGCAATTTATATTAAACTAAAAACAAAGATACTTATCACGTGATGTAAAAATCAGCAGCATCAATTAATCAAATTTAAAACGGTCCATTTATGTTTCAAATAAAAATTTCAAGCTTCTACAAATGGTCGGTACGGTCCATCTTAGGGAAGACCTACGTAATGCAGAATAAAGATATGCTGGGATTTGTTTTACCGGGGTTATGCGAAGGTATGGTTTTAAGGTACTGTAACTGTAACTGTAACTGTACTTAAAACGTTAAAGCAATACATGCACTACATTTTTGTGGTATTATACCACTGTAACCTGCCCTAAAACTAGCATGGTGCTCAGGAAGTATATTAAAGATTTTAAATGTTCCCCAATTTGAGAATTCATAATTGTCTCTACAACTTTTGAAAGGACTGGTAATATGCTAATACGACTAAGCTCACTATACTGATCAGGATCTTTTTTTAGGAATGGAGATTATCTTGGAAATTTTCCACAAACCAGGCAATTTCCCATCGAGCAAAATTGAATTAATGACATTAGAAATAAAAGGGAGAATTATATAACAGCTTAATAGTATCATATTCAGATTTATTTGATAGGTCCTTGTAGCTCGCGATTTGATTTCAAATAAATGTGGTTTTACGGTATCTTCAACAACTGCATAAAAACTAAACAATCAAGTAAAATTACTCTTTCAATTTTGTTTGTAAAATAAGGTAAAGTTTTTATCAAAGAGTATATTTAATACAGAAAACTGCAAAAAATGTTTAATAATATTGGCAAAATTTAAGCTTTCAGGCAAAAAATTTTTATCTTTTTTTGGGCATATATTCAATCCTTTAAGTTTTTTCCAGTAGTCCAGTAGTCCAGTAGTCCACCTAAGCTCAAACTCGAACAATGTGACATGTCTGGAGTATTATAGCTTTTTGTAATGCATCAAAGGTGTCATTCTCCATGTCTAGTTTCTCCAGATTTTTCTTGAAATTTTCTGTAACAATTTCCTCCGTTGATATAACCAATAGACAAATGTTTTTTTCGTTATAATAATAATAATAATAATAATAATAATAATAATAATAATACATAATTGTTTACATTATTATTATTATTATTATTATCAAAACTGTAATGGTGTTGTAAATCTGGATATAAAACTTTTGTTATCATAATATAAATCTTAAAAATCATCTACATCTGCAAGGGCGCCTTCACCAGATCTAAAATCCAAGTATTTTTATTTATTACTGAGTAGAAAATACTGTAAACTATTGTAAATATTTGCTTGTACATTATTTTGTTCATAATTTTAGAGATTATAAGCAGAATAGTAGTAAATAAGTAATAAACCTGTAACCTATTTTATTTGAGCCAGGAGTATGACTTATGCTTGTTTCCACAGTACAGGAAAATACGGGGACAAAAAATATTCCTTAATTATGGATGCCAGTATGCTGTCCAATTGTGTGACAACAAAGTTGCAATATTGTCGATTCCCATTGCCTTGGTCTTAATAGCGTTAATCATATGAATCACGGTTAAACTAAAATTAAACTGTTCATCAATTCTACAAAAAAAGTCATTTTTATAAAAGTTAAGAAGTTTTTTAGTCGGACAAAGTATTAGAAGCAGTGGAGTTGGTAAAACAATATTAATAGCATCTGTATTAAGGAAGAAAAGAAATCAGAAGAAGCTCTGTTGCTGCAGTTTAAAAAAACAGAAAAATTGTGGGATACTTGAAAGAAATGAACTATCTGAAATACGGAAAACTATCATTGTAATATATTTGAACTTTACGATATAGTGGAGGGTGGGCAAGGCGGCTCCCTGGGCCAAAAATTAACTAAAATTATTTTTTTATTTTATTATATTTATTATATTTATTATTTTATTTATATTTTTAGCCCATTGCGTGATACCAGGGGTCAAATGGGCCGCTCAAAAATTCTAAAAAAGCTATTCTATATTATTATAAAAGAATCATAATTAATTTATTGAAAGTGTTGTTTTTTGGATAATTCTGTGGATTTAGCTTAAAGCCAGAGCTTTCGAAAATCTTATAAATTCCAATAACAAATTTTTCAATTGATGGAAAAATAGTTACTAATTACTAATACTTTTTAGTAAGTAATTAAAATTATTATATAGAACATTAAAAATAGGGGAGAGTGGGGAACGACGACCAGAAGCTTCGTCAAAATGTGGGTAAGTTTAGTTAAAGTTAGTCAAAAATTCAATCGACTAAAAGCCACAAAAAATAATAAAAACTAAACAATGAAGTAAAATTACTCTTTGAATTTTGTTTGTAAAATGAGGTCAAGTTTTTATCAGCTGACTGCAAAAGATGTTTGTTAATATTATTGGAAAAATTTTCGCTTAAGTGGGTCGCCTTGCCCCACCCTCCCCTAACCTTTAAGTTGTTCACCATGTTTAATGATCGTTGTTACTGCGAATTTACAAGTAACTAGATCACTGGTGCTGCTAAACATCGGGACCCATCACAGACTCAAATAAATTTGCGTTGTTGTGCGATTAAGTTGGCCTTTATGCTCACAATAGACTCATTTACTTCGCGTCATAGAAGATAAGCCATCTATACAATTCGAAACTCTAAATCAACATTCCGAGGATCATTGAAGCTTCTTCGCAAACTCCAGACAACGTTATTTACAACCCAAAGACGTTTCCACATCGAGCTTAGTTGCATTTAAACACAATAGTTGTTGCCAAGTCGGATGGATATTAAGCTGGCACAGTATTCTCCGGTTTTGATTTATGACGTTTCCAAACGGTCTGGTTTCGCCCGCCGATTTATCAATGCCACAAATGTTTTAACTTCAGAACGGTCTCGAGAAATTTTTATAATAGTCATTAACAAGAATAATTGATGTGTTTATACTGCGAAGCGTTTCAAAACGTCGTAAAGGATTACTTACCCGCAAAAATTAATGCTCGCGCGCTACTTAAAATCATTTTTAAGTACGCGAAAAGATTAATTATTTTAACGATACTTCCGTTGCGCCATGTGTGGTATTTTCAAGTGCTGCAAAATGAAATAACTTAGAAACTACAAACGATTGGAAACAAAGTTAAATAGAAAAGTTGTGCAGCTTCATCAAGAGTTTTTAAATTTTAATTTTTCATATACACTGGGGATTCCTTTCACCTTGTAGACTAGTGAAAATAAACATTTGACATTTGGCATTATACATGAAATGTCAAAAATCCCCTTCGATCCCACTAGTGCCAAAAATTCTTACGGGCCATCTCAGGCAAGACCTACTTAACCCATTTTGCCTCAGTGGTGCGTTAATGCACCACCTATTCTATGATTTTTTTTTTCACATCCAGGAAATATTTTTGCACATCTATTTAAAAATTTTATTATTATCATTATATGTGTAAAGGAAAGATCTTATTCAAAAGTTAACAAAAGCGGTACATAGATTTCTATCACATTTTCAAGTAAATAGTAAAAAAAAATATTTTGTTTTTGTATTGCCATTTTTGTTAAGTCTATACCATGTAGATTACATCGCAGAAAACATACATTAGAAATACTATATTGATTATGCTTTATTTTTTGAAAATATTTACTGGTGCGTGAATGCACCACTGGTTTTATCTGTGAAACAAAACTTTCAGCACATGTAGAATGAACATCCAACAATTAGCGTGTTCTTTAGTATTAGTTTGTGCTTTGTGCAGTAAAAGTTACAGTTCGTAAAATATGGCATTTCCGAGGAATTTGATTCAAAAGGAATTAGAGTTGGCTATGGAGGAGATCGTGATGGATGAGGACAATAACAATGAAAGTCGTAATTATTCTTTGGATTTACGTATTCTTATGTATTGTAGAATTCCATTCCTTGTAAATTTATGCTAAAAATAACATGAAAAAATATTTACAGAACATATTGACGAGGTCTATATTCCACCCGACGAAGAAGATATGAACGATAACATAAATCTACAAGAGTTTGGGGAACGAACTGATATAGTTGGAACTTTCGAGTTACGTATA